TGCTGTGAAAAAGGTCTATAGAACCAATTACAGTGATTGTTGACACTAAATAGAGTGTTTATTTAGAGTGAACATGTTTTCTTATATAAGTGTATTGTAGTGTATCAAATTAATCAAAAAAGGAATATTTTATGCTTGCATAACTCATTAATAACAACACTTTCATTAACTTTGGTCAGAGTTGGGCCACAGACTAAAGAAAAGGACAGCTTGAGTTTACACACAACTAGCAGTTAACACCGTAAATCAGGCATTGCTGCAATTAGCCGCAAACTGGTGCGGCAGTGTGGGGGTGTTTATTTGAAAATAACTTTTTATTTTTCTGATTCACCAGTGTTCTTGCTACTGGCGCTCCCTCTCCTCACCTCCCTCCTATGTCTCTCAACCACTGTTATCCCTTTTGCTCCCTTTCTCTCTTGCAAACCGAAGAAAACTGTTTGGTATCACTTATGCTGCAAGCCAGACAAAGCCAGAAACACTAGTTTTTAGTGGCAGTCTAATTAATGTTCCCAACCTATACCTACAACCAGAAAATGAGATGAGCATCAGACTATATGAAATGTTAATCAAATAAAATCTTACACATTAATTTAACAGCTGTAGCCTTCTGTATTTCAGGAGCTCTGTACTCCCTGATTCAGAACGATGAATAAAATGTTGATATAAAAGTCAAAATTTAACCGTGAGACAATCTTTGGCTGAATACAGACATCAGCTGCAGAGAGCACATTAACCGGAGCCAAACTTTCTTGTCAACTGTTACTGAATTAATTAGCTGCAGCTGATGTTTGTCATTTAACCCAGCGACAGTTGGCAAAAAATGAGAAGTTGCTACCTATATGTTTTCCACAGTTCTTTGCTAATAAAAAGAGATTTGTTAGCAGCAGGAGCCAGGTTCAAATTGAAACCGGCTATCATCTCTGTCGGTTTTAACTTTCTAACTGTGTTGGAAATGTGATTTGTCACGCTCATGCTAAAAGTAGTTTATGCAAATAAGACCATTATAAGGCACTTTGCGTGTAATTTTCTATCAAACAGCAAATGTTGCATTCGTGCAAGGGTTTTGGTGAAGGGGGGCACAATGATAAACAGCAGAAGAGAATTAGCGCAGTCACAGATAACTGAGAGCTCAAAATGACAGTATGAAAAATGCTAACTGTCATACAAATCATTTGTACCGCTTCCAAGAGTCTGACAGGAGAGTGTGAGTAAGTGACTGATAGACAAGCTACACAAATGTGTAATTTGCATTGTGCTTTAATCGTATTATGTTATGTTTCACTTTAACAAGCGATAAGGCTTCAAGGATGAGGAATATCGTCTCCTTTGGATTAACAGCATGTCAAAAAACAAAGCTAATGGAAAAGGGAGAGTCTTGTATTTGTAGTCATATGTGTGGGCCAACATGATATCAGACCCTGCTAATATACATGTAATCATTATCTAGTGGAGAAAGAAGTAGTCAGATATTTTACTTAAGTAAAAGTATTAGTACCACAGCGTTTTCAGCATCAAAATGTAAAAAAAAAGAGTGTTTATTATATTAGTGGCCCAGAATCATTCTATATTACATTTTGTATTATCAAATAATAGAATAATATCAAATAGTATGATCAAATAAATGTATGAAAAATAATAAACTGGTACAAGTACCTACAAATTGCACTGTACTTAATTAAATGTTCGTAGTTAGAAATTATGCCATTATACACATTATACACATTAGCAAAAGGAAACAAATACAACATGAAATACACGCAAACAAAAGGGAGAGTACCAGTTAACATCATACTAAAGCCCACACTTCCACACACACACACACAGACACAGTCATTACCAGGCCTTCAGAGGGTTTGATGTTGGTGAGGTGAACCAGCTCGAGGTGGGCTGACTGAGATACCAGCGGGTCTGATGACACACACACAATGTGCTCACACACCTCCGACAGAGTTTTGCACTACAGAGAAAAAGAAGAAAACGAGA